GCTGTGCCAGAGATGGCGAGGTCATAGACAAGGCTAGTGAACTTATATTATAGTTCACGATTGGCTCCGATTTGGCTTTCATCGCACCTTCCCCATTGGACCCTACTTGCCAGTGTTTGGATTTACCTCGGATAACAAAGATACCGGATCGGCAATATAAACACAATGATAATCCGAAATGATGGACACGAGAGTTTTGCTGGGATTCGCGCCAAGATAGAAAGCAAATTGTCTCGTAAGCAGAAGGTGACCAAGCGGCCGACTGCATGTGCCTTTTCTAGGCCCACTATACAAGCAAATCAAACCATTCCCTCATTTTGAGATATATTATTGACGGGGAGCAGCAATTAATTGGAAATTTTGAAACCATTTTGGTACAATTTTCTCAAATTTTGGTAGATTGCACTATAAAGCGAACGCGCAATACGGAAAGCGAGAAGTGTGGGACGCGAACCTAGCAATGACGGCATAGACTAAACTACGCCGAGTACCACTAAGGTAAGAGACACATGTTATTCTTAGGAAGTTGGATTATGAGTGCTCCTTGGGGTTGAGTTCAAAGGTTTCGAGTTACCGTGCAAACCTTGGAAGAACTCGGTACAAGGTACTCCGTACAAGGTACAAGGTAACAAAGTACAAATTCAATTTATCCTCTTTCGGACAGACTTTGTACATTCTGTATGTATGTTGTACAGTACTCGGTACATTGAAATTGTAAAGCTTCAAAGTGGACCTTTTTTCTTTCCTTACACTACGGGTATTCCCCACTCTGTTTTATGCCCTAAGCCCCGTCAGGTTTAGCGACGTAATGAACAGTCTTGCAGCTTTGGTTACCTGCGCTATCTAAAAGAAGACTTGCTAGGAAAAAAAGTCCGATAGAATAGTTCAATTGATCCGATTTAGAAGGATTCAATATTATCCTGTAGTCCGAGCCTACAAAACTGGTCGAATTATGATAGACAGTGGCGATTTCAAATTGAATTGAAAGAAAGCTAAAGAAAAGGGGCGGGGAATAGGGGAGTGAAAAAAACAGTCTAACCATGGTTTGAGCCTCCGCTGCCCCAGTCAAGCTGTGTATGTTGAACTATTCCCAAAAGGGCCATATTGTCTCGAATTCCCGATCCAGTCCGCGTGGTGAATAATAATTAGCATCGTCCTTATTCGCGGTGGAGCTTCACAACGATTCTATAACGCACAAGACCGAAGAATTGATTCACGGCAGCCTTGAGAACATCTATGTTTAGAGGAAAGGAAGAGACTACAGAAACACGCAAATGACTATCCTATGAGGCAATTTCGGAAATTAGATGTACGTAACTCCGAGGTACTTCTTTTTACGGAGTCAGAGTACTAGTTGCAGGGTTTACGAGCATTTCATCTGAACTTCATGCACCTCGTCCACTACCCAGAAAAGTTCTCCAACTGAAGGACCAAGAAGAGAGGAAAAAAAACCTGCGTAGTGGAGCTGTTTCTGCCAAACACAGAAAAACCTTTGTGACATTTGTATAACTCCCCGCAGAGGGGCCACAAAACATCAAATTTTCACCGGTCAAGGATGCAGCTTTTTGCCCGATACATACGGAAATAAATATGTACGTGGGATTTCGCTGCGATTTACAACCGAAGAGTCTCCGGGATCCAATGTATTCGGATATCTAGACAGCAATTCAGTTTCAATGCAATGATAGTTTAAGAGATATATAAATGGTAATTATTCAAGGTTCTTAGTTTACCTAGGAATTATACCGAGAGATGCCCAGGTGATTAAAGCCACTAGAAACTTATCCGAGGAACATAGCCACAAATTTCAACCTCTTTGTGCGTACGGTATCAGCACTATCCGACGGCAGCCACAGTTCCGCCACATCTTCTTTCCACATTAAGACGGTGGAGCGGAAAACCATCAAATATAGCGGGGCGGAAGAGAAAATGAACTCGCGCATACATACATACATTTTAGAACCTTGTTGCAATGGACACCGGATGGTGAACAGGAAACAAAAAGCGGTGGGGATTTCAACCTTTTCCAATAGTACCATGGTTGATGTATCCCGGCACGGCCCTGGGATAACCGTTGTTGAAGGTGGAGTTTGGGTTACGTCCACGGGTACTGTGTACTCGGAATTTGCGATGATTCCATGGTTCAGAAGACGTGTGATGTCGGAGGGCATTAATTTGGAGTGGAATGGATCCATCTGCGAGGCGAGAAAAAAAAAGTTCGGATCCCACACTTACGTTTTTATCGGGTTCTTTGCTAGGTTTTCTGTGGGCTGTATCATACTAGGGTGTTTTGTATAGACTGCAAGTCTCCGGAACTGGTCTCTAGATACTCTGTACGGAGTATGAAATGTATCGATATGGGATATCAAGTATGAATTAGATAGTACTTGTATTGTGTGTATAGAATGCACATAGTATCCACTTAAAAATGATTACCCTACACATCAGTTACCAGTGATGATATTTGATGCAGAACATGTAACTGGTACATGATTTGATGAGATGTCTAATATCCAGTCCACACCGCCCTCTAACAAACGAGTAATGTCTGCGAAAGAGCATTGATCTACATTGGGAGCAGAAATCCGACATGAGGGTTTGACGCCTCCTTAGACTAATGAACTCCCTGTATACTCCGTAGTACGGAATACAATATGTATGGTGGAAGGATCTTCCCCTTGCAGAAAGAAATATACACATCGAAGATTGAAAGTGAAATAAGCAACGTGGAGGGAAATCGAAGGGTTATATTACTGCGTCTTGGTTGCAGGGCCATGAGCAAGGGAAACCACATCTATATACTGCGCCCCATCGGGGGAAAATCTTGCAGCAACCGGGGAAACAAACCGATGTCAGGCTATTTAAGTTTTGATGCATAGACAAGTGAACACCTCCTTGAAGACTTGACTTGCATTGCTGGGTGTTTGCGGGTGAGGTTTTACTTACCAAACACCTAACACCTAACACACAGGGATCAAGCACCCCTTGAATTAACTTAAGCACTTCTAACAGGCAATTCTCTATCCAAAGAGCCATGTTGAGCAAAATGCCTGTGATTAAAATAAATGAGAGGTTGAAATTCACATCCAAAAATAGATAAAATTGCAACTAATCCGCTACGGGAAACTAAAGAATCTGGGGCCAATAGAAGTGCCAGACCAAGTCCAGACTCAAATTATGCCCATCGCCATATGCGCGCGCTTTAAAGTTACCCTCGTCCTTTAGACTGCTTCATGCTGTCGGTACTTGAAACATGGGGCGAGACATGCGTCAGGAGACAAATATGGCAAGTTGTGCTGATTAGCAAGGGCTTTTCTTCCCCTTTTCAGGATGTACAGTACCGCGCCGGCTGGGCGCATCGGAAGCACATCAGCCAGGTACTAGTTTCCAAGCCATCCGGGCAACCTCTGTGGGCACATGTAAATCACCTCTTACTAAGTGCTGATTTAATGAAACTGTGCGCGGCTGCAGTGGGATGTGCCTCATTGCGACCACGTAATTGCTGCATGGGCCTAGTCTATCCCCGGAACCCCTTTTCCCTTGAACAGCTTTACAAAGATCGTTTTAGTCCAATTGTTTCTTACGGTTTGCCTTCCTAGAATGATTTAGCAGACCTTACGGAGTACGGAGTATCAGGCTTGTACATCGGTGGTGGGACAGAATCCCGATAATTACCCTTCACTTTCTACTGAGTAGTACAGGTCATCCCCGCCAATTGGGGTCGAACTACTTAAGTAGGTAACGGTAGTATACAAATTAGCTACATAGTGCTATCACATGGATAATATATACAAGTTCAACTAGAATCCCGGAGTACACAAGTATATACAATTTAAGTAGACGCTTGCCTAAAATGAAAATGTTTGGATAGGGGTATCTACAATTGATTAACACAATAGGGAATAGTTAAGGAATACATGGTGCCAGACTCATCAGGTATGAGGCCTAGGCTCTTATGCCGCTGACATGTTAGTAAGAATGAAGAGGTAACTAACTAGTTACTCCGTACAATTTATCTACAGTACACATATTACCTTAAGCCTTGGCGATTAATTTAACTGGTATGATACAACAAAAGTCCCTGGCATGCTATGTGAGTTTCTAACAAGAGTCTAAATTTGCAGACCAAGTGTGTGTTTGTGATCTGCTTTCTGCATATTAGCCGTGTCTATCATTCAGGTTTCTTATTTGAGAGTCCCTTGCTTTGCTACGTTGTACAGTCCCGACGGAACCCTTTAATGGCCATCGCTTATCTCTTCCCCTTTTTCTTTCCCTACTAGGCTTGCACGAGGCGGGAATACTCCATTGTTGATAGGGGGATCATTGCTTCGGCAACTGTCGTCCCCGGTTTAAATGAGAAGGCGCCAACAAATGATTCGAACTGCATTCCTTGAACAAGTTGAGTAAGTGAAACGTACGGATCCACTACTCCGTGCTAGATGTAGAGCCTTATGCGCTGTCATATATCAAGCTGCACTACTCCGTATAGACCGGTCAATTGTATCCGTTTACTTTGATGTACACATCCTGTGCATGTCATTGAGAAACGGCCGAGTCGCATAATGATCGATATTTTTTGTGTGTGCGGATATGCAATTGGGTGGCTGAGGTTAATGACTGGACCTTACAGAGCACTCTCAATGAACTTATGTATTGTAAGGGGATGAGGCAAGGGGAGACTGCGAAAATCTCCGAATCGAAATTGTGTAGAGCAACAGGGATATGATTCGCAGAGATTGACCTGGGGAATTTACGCGTCCAGTACTCCGTAAAGAGTGGGATTCTCACGGCTAAACCAGTCAATCCTGATGAGTCGAGACGTCTACAAACCTTATCTCGGGTCGAGAAGCTGGGGACAAATCAAGTGCATCTTCAGTGGTGTCACAGGCGGCAGATGCCGTAGGGATGATACTCTGTACTCTGTACAAAAAAAAAAAAACCTAAGTTACATACGTGTTGATCTAAATAGGGATTAATTCAAGTGATTGTAAAAAAGAAGAATGGAGAAAACGTGCCCAAATTACGAGAACCTGCTTTTGCGACCGAAGACCGAACCTTGGAAAATATCCCCACATGGACTCGCAGGAGACCGAGATCCCTGCAAGACAAAGGAGGCTCGGGTTATCAATTTAGGACAACCCAAGCACACCCCAGCTGAGGTACGCGAATGGGGAAACACGCGAGATGAAGTCAACAGCAGGGCAATCCCAACTTTCTAGGCCAGTCAGCGCCCCCAGCCCGCAGACCCTGGAACACACGACCGTATCGGAGGGCTTCGTACGAAGAGAGCCCAGCCCATTGCAGGACTAGTAACCAAGGTGCTGGATGACGAGCCAACAATGGCTGAGGATTGGCCTTAATACTTTGTCGATCAGGAGCTTTTTTTGGGCCGGAACTCGCGGTTGTTTTGGCCCCATTTATCTTTCTTTCTTTCTTTCTTTTTTTTCTTTATTTGTCTTTTAGAATAGGAAAATGCAATAGAATTTCGGAGAATTCTAGACATTTACTTAAAATTATTAGGATGAAAATATAGGAAAATGGGCTTTGAAAAGGTTGAAATGTCTCGGTAGCGACGGAGATCTCTCCACCGTCGAAGAAACTCCTTCAAATTACTAGTCTAAGAAAATGACTGGGTCGCGGCATACGGTTGAAAACGCAATATTCGAGTTTCAAAGTTATATGCAATGTATATTGTAGACACATCGGATTTCTAGAGTTTAACATGAATACTAGTACTCGATAATTTTGGTTATTTTAGTTATTCTAGTTAGGTTAGTAAATGTATGAATATCCTAATTCAGTATCTCTGTTCCTGTACCTATGTGCCTTGTGCCTGATCCCACGTTTGAAACCTCTGGAGTTCTAAATAACAACTACAGTTTCAAGCAGTTTTTGCAGGTTTCAACTCCTGTCTTGTATCCTTGCAGAGAGGAGAGAAGCCCTAGTTACCTATCAAAGTTACCGATCTTCCCCTGGGATACGTAAATTATGGAACATGGAACATCATACTGTAAATTTCCTGTACGCTGTATGCTAACCTTCAGCCTCCACTTGTCTCGTGGATTACCATACAACCAGCTCTCTCCGTGTGTATCTCCGTGTCTTCTCAGCTTCTTAACCTCTTCCTTTTCCTTCTTTCTCTTCCCACACCCGCCTGGAGAGAGAAAGTCAAAACCCTCCTCCTTGTACCTCTCTCCTTCTCTTCTTCATACCCTTTTCTCTTCCCTTTTTCCCCTCCCCTCTCTCCTCCCCTGCCAATCCTACGGAGATCCCAGAGTCTGGTCTACTGGCTGAGTTACGGTTCGACGACATTCCAGTCGACGCAATCTCATTCAGCCCGCTGCACTAGCACTCAAGTCGAGTCGATTTCACCTTCGCACTTGACCTTCCAATTCGACGTTTGTTAACTCAAACGGCGATCCTTCGTTCTTGTCCGCCCGGTGCCTCCCTGATCCTCGGACTTTTGACGATTTGGACCCTCCTGTTCCAGCTCCTGCCGGTTAGACGAGCGACAGCGTAGGAAACCCATTCAGGTTGACTTTTTGTTGATACGAATTCGTTTTCGGTATCAGATTGACATTGAGCTTCAAAAACTTGGGTAAGAAATTCCGTTTTTTTTTTTGTGCTTTGAGGTGTGCATGGTGTCAAGGTCGGAACGCCCCGATGGATAGACGAGCAACGGATACTCGAGTTTTCTCAACATGAGCCAAGAGATTGAATAAATTTCCACACGAAAAAAAAAAAAATCATTTCCAGAGTGCATGAAAAGTTGGCCCACCAGACATAATCAAGGCATGGCCTCAGGGCCATGTCTAAGCATCCAGCAACCCCAACCTCATACCTCCGATTTTGCTTCGTTTCCCACCCGAGACAACAAAACACACTGAGAGCCAGATATGGGAAGTAGCAGTTTATTGAGCAATGAAGGTTGCCGTCCATGCAGACGGCAAATTATATTCTCAACTACAATTGTGGAATGCATATCTTACTTGATATGCAATGTTTTGCCAGGGTCCAACCAGCGGTGGAGATTGCTTCTATATCCACCCAAGCGTGGGAATATTTAAGGGGTCGATGAAAATCCCATACTCTTACTGAACATGCCGGATATCGGGGTGACGATCAAACTGTGACACAACATACCTCAATTGCACTTGATTGTTGGCTGGCATCAATTGTTAATTGTTGATTGCCATTATATTTCGGACCGTTGACTGCTGCGAATGCAATTGACGAATAGATGACTGACATGGTTGCCTATTTTAGGACTTGTTTCATCTGAATCTTGGATATAAACTCACTTGTCTCCTCAAGTAGACTTCATCCTTGAATCTCTGGAACTTCTTCCATCTAAGAAACTCTATCAGTCTCTTCACTGAGCCTTGTTCTTTCAACTCGTTAATTCGTGAAGTGTGAGTTCAAACCATTCCGTTACCAAGGCATCCCCCCTGATGATTGTGACCCCCTTCATAGGGTTATTCTCCTGCACTCCACATTCCGCAGCACTAGCCTAGGGGTGAAGACGTTGACTCGTACTTCATCTCTTCGTTGGTATCCAACAGAATCCTAATTCACCGGATCATTCCTGCCTAGATGCCAGTCTTGTCGTCACGGTAAGGGTTGCATTGTGCCCCTCTTCCCGAAGGCTCTTTTCTGGGTTAGTACTTCTCCGAAGGAGTGATGACCCTTCCCGTCTCCTACATGGATATCGGCATACATCTCTACACTCTACCTCATTGTGCTCTTCCCCTCTCATGCTCTCTTGCTTTCCCATCACTTATCACTTAGACGTTACAATTTTTTAATGACTTCTTTTTACGCCGGCCTCCGCTAATATTAATTCCTTTCAGCCTTACCTTCGAAGACTTCCTCTCGGCCACCTTTTCCCAGCATTCGAACTATTGTTTCACGCTGATCCACTCATTAATCGTTACAAATTTTCCGTCATTCATTCCAATACACTAATACCACGACTGTCACTCTCTTAATTCCGTCGTTGCCTGATAGACCTGTTCTTCAGGCTTCCTTTTATTGAAACTCGGCAAAACGACCCCCATACATCAACTTGTGCTTCATACTTCGGTCGATCCAAGTACTTCCGCAATCATGGATTATCATCGCAACTACCGTCCTTGTCCCACCTTCTTTGTGGAAGAGGAGTACGGCATGGAAAGTCGCATTCGGCAAGAGCGCCAGGCGAAACAGGAGCATGAGAAGCAGATGGCTCGTGAGCGTCAGTATGTTATGGCAGATGAACTGTCCAATCTCACAAGTGAACAGCTTCGGGACGATGTCCTGAGTCACATGTTGGAAATGGATGTGAGTTTGATCAGATACGTCTCTTTCCCAAGGTTATACGTTGCTAACCTAGTCATCACGTAGAACCAAACCCTGCCCGACGTCGAGTCCATTGACATCCAAACCGAGATCCAGTGGTTCATGCGACCATATCTTCTTGACTTTTTGATCGAGGCCCACACTGCGTTCCAGCTGCTGCCATCCACCTTGTTCTTGGCGATCAACCTTCTAGACCGATACTGCTCCAAGCGTGTGGTCTACAAGCGTCACTACCAGTTAGTTGGCTGTGCAGCTCTACTCATCGCGGCCAAGTACAATGACAAGAAGGATCGTGTCCCCACTATCAAGGAGCTGAAGTCGATGTGTTGTTCTCTTTACGACGACGATATGTTCACTCAGATGGAATGGCATGTCCTCCAAACTCTTGGCTGGTCCATTGGACACCCGACTGTGGATGCTTTCTTGCAGCACGCTGTTCTGGATGATGCTTACGACCCCGAGGTGGAACACATGGCTTTGTACATCCTGGAGATTGCCTTGTTCCACCGGGACTTTGTCGCCAAGCTATCATCTGAACTTGCTCGTGCTGCTCTTGCGTTGTCCCGCTGCATTCTTAACCGACCGCAGCCCCGTCACACCCACTGGTCATCGCAGTATGACTCGATGACTCTTGTTGCCTTGTCCCAGCAGTTGCACCAACCGTCCACCGTCGTCGCCCGCAAGTACGCTTCTGCCCACTACTCTCGTGTCTCGAAGGTCATGGAACACTTCCTCAACCGTCAGGCTTCGTTGGCAACCTACGCCCGTTGCACTCCTCCGGTCGAGACTCCTATTGAGTCTAAGCCGTACAATGGAGAGATTGGTCTTGCCACCCCTCAGAAGTCTCAGCAGTTGACAGCTATTCCTCATGGTTACCTCACTCCTCCAATCACGCCGGACAACGAGGCACTTGTGCATGCTCATACACAAATGGCCAATCACGATATGAACCGCGGAATGCCCACTGTCCACCATGGCTGTTCCCCTTCCCCCGTACCATCTGCTGAGATGCAATACATGAACAGCGAAGCATACCAGCAACAGCAGGAGGCTATGTACATGGCTCAGCAAGCATCGCTCCAGCAGTTCCCTCTGGCACCTACCCACATGGGAATGAGCCAGACCTATCAGGGTGGGATGTAAAAGAAACGACGGAACGAGCAGCAATCCAAATGGTATCATTTGGACCTTGCACATATTTCCAGCACTTCATTTCATTTCTCATCTTCATAGAATGACTCCAAGGAGCATCTGATTCCGCATTGATTCACCTCGATATCTCATCTTAATACTCAATGCGCCACACCCGCTTGTCGACCTGTGCCATATCCCCCGAACTCGACTGCATCCACTTTCGTCCTTTACGCTTTGCATTCGGCTCTGATTCCGCTGGATCAGAGTCGAGACCAGCCCTTCACTTCCTGTTCCAAAAATTGCATACCCATTTGCTCCCTATACCCATTAGTCTTGGGTCATCAGTTGCACTTGATTTAACCATCTAGCATTGCGAGCGCGAGCCATGTTGATTTATTTGTTTCTCAAGAATACATTTTGCTGCTTTCTACTCCCCTCGTCATATTAACTTCTCTTCTATTTGTCAAGGAATACCACACACCCTTGACACCTTGTATTTCTGCGCGCCAATTGGTGCTGCCTTTTTTGATATCCCCCCCCCCCCTTGCCCTCCACGATCCTTAGCAGTATAACTGCCTTCCCAATCGCGTCCCCAATCCCCTACCCCAACCCCTACCCATTCGCCCTCAACCCCCCAAACCCCGTTTTTCATGTGCCTCGTTCCTCACGTTGGCTCTTCTGCGCAACGTGCATGAATCCGTCTCCTGTCTGATGACACCGAGTTGTCTCACATACCAGGAGAGTGGGCTCAGAGGTCGCAAAAAAAAGCAAAAAAAGTGTGAAAACCCGGAAAAAATTATATGTCTTCTGGGGAGGAAAGGCCACCAAGTCCATATTTCGTTGGACTCATGGTGCCTTTTCTTTTCCCTCTGCTCTCCTCTTCCTTTGTATCTAGCCCTTGACACATGCCCTGAACGCCTGTCCGTCATCCATTACTGGAGCCGGAAGGCAAGGTGCCTTTTTCTTTTATCTCTTGTGTGGATTTGAGAATGGGGCTGTCGGTTTGCCGCTTGGCTCTGAAATATATCCCATTTTCAGTGAATCTTTGGATGCTGTAGAATTGTAGTCTTTCTTTAGTCTTGTAGAGTACTTTTTCTTTTCATGGATCCTCTGTCCGCGAGCTACTTCGTGGTAACCATGGTCCTCTCTCGTCTATGATCAATTAGTGGGAACATGTCGCCTTTTCTCTGGGTTTCACCTTCGATCTCCATTCCCTTGCTCTGGGATATATTACTACTGTTAGTCCTCTGTTTTGTTGCCGTACTTTCCATCGATATTCTGACCACTCAAACAAAGTCTTCGATATATTTTAGCGTGGTTGAGGTTTGTTTGTATAATATATATGGACCAACTTTGTCCAAATCACAATCACTATATATCAAAGGCTGTACTGTTCAATCCCACATAACTTCCCCGCTTACCCCCAATAGTCACCAATTGCTGCTGCAGCTCGGAAAGAGAAAGAACCAGTTAGGATCGAGTGTTCCTTATGACAATTTCCATTCTAAGCTAGAGACTTCTATGGCTGAATTGGACGTAGTTCATTTGAAAGGCGCCATATCCCTTCGGATTTTCTCATATCATTAGGTTTGAAATTACGAAAAATAATAGATAATCTGATTCAAGCATCATTGGTTGGGTATCTATCTGGTGGCGAGGCAAATTGGAATGTATATATGACAATTATTACTAGAGAGACGGCACAAACATGTCAGAAAGGAGATTGCAGCTGAATTGACCTAATCATTATATATATCTCTAATTTTACCAAAGTAAAAAAAGCATAAATCAAGTGAATATGAGATTCGATAATAAAACAATAATATCTCTCTTGAGAATACAATTTCGCTCATTCGCAATAAATCCAGATCTAGTAGATCCAATAATAATACCCACGCTATGCATCGCAACAAAAGAAACAAAATAGGGTGTCAGCCCAATTAGCCCTCCCAGCGTGACCATGCAGCTAGCTGCTAGCCATGCCGAGAGACAAACATGTGTAGTTTCAACAGTAACCAGTAGAGTTGGAAGGGTAGAAAGTAAAAGGTAGGGAAGAGTATAACCAGACCACAAAGAGTGAACCCAGAAAGTAGCGAGACAAGAAGCAAAAGAGGAAAACGCCTCCAGAATGATGATACAAGGGGGTAAGAGTGGAGACGCGAAAATCCGGGGAGACGCAGGGATTCAGGTGAGGCAATCGTCGAAAAAGGGAAAACGGCACAGAAGCTCCGAGAATCAGACAATTTGAACGCCCCGATCTGGTCAGGGGGGAAAATAGAGAAAAAGAGAAAAGGGTCGGTGACGGTGACGAGAGGCCGAAAAAAAGGGGGTTTTGGCGTCCAATGGTCTCCCCAAATCATGTTCGTCGATCATCGCCTCACTTTTCTTTTTTTTTTGGTCTTTTTTTTTGGTTTCTTTTTCTCTCGGTCTGGACCTCTTTTTTTTGCCTTGTAACGCGCGTGTAAAATGGGATCCGCGTCTCCTTCGAACCGACTATGCAGCAATTGAGGCAACTGCATAGGCCAATTCGAGTTTGTAAAGAGAACAACTACTTCCAGCGTTGTTTGTCCCAGTCAGATGGCCGCGTCTCATCGTATATTCGGCCGCCCTTGTTGTGGACGACCACCGGAGGTTTGCGGACGGGATTGGTTGCTAGGATGTGCATTAGCTCGGGCTGAATCTGGAGATCGGGGACAGGGATGTGAGGCACTTGACATACTTAGACTTCGGACTACGGTGGCGACCACCTGATCACTGCTGCTGGCTCTGCTTGCCAGTGTGGAATTGGAGTCGTTCACTTTGTGTGGCATTGTGAATGGTTGGAAGAATTGTAGGAATTGGGTTGTGTTTGTGGTTGTGGTTTGAGGATGGAGATGGAGGTGGAAAGTGAATAAGAAGAGGGAGAGAGAGATTAGGGTATTAAAAAGAGGTAGAAGTAGAAAGGTAGAAGTAGAAAGGCAAAGAGGTAAAGAGACGAAGAGATATGTATAGAAAGCGTCAAAGGTGAGGCACACAAGTGTTGAACTGTGAGCAGAGATTATGTCAATAAATAGGATATAGACAAAAGACAAAAGATAGAGAAAAAAATAAAGATAAAAAGATAAAAAGATAAAAGACAATAGTGAGGTTGTTGGGTTGTATAGTGATGATGCTGAAGTTGATTCGAGGGCGACGAGTTCTTTTTGTATAGCCATTCCACATTGAGCTTCACCCCGATCTACACTCTGGGGAACACACGTCGAGCTCCCTAGTTCCAAAGAGGACGAGCTACAAGCTGGAATGGATCAGCCCCTGACGTATTTGGTGCCTGGTAATGGCCATAATTACTTGCCACGATTGTATCATTGATTGGCTTAGAGGATCAATGGAAAGTAGGGCAGCCAGTGATGAAAGGGGAACATCTCCAACTTACTAGGGTTTGGGTCCTGTCACGGTAATATTACCAATAATGATGAGTCAGCCATTCCGAATGTACTATTTACAGAATCGGACTGGTCGTGTAACTAAAACATATCACTTAAATATAAAATAATTATTTACTGAATGTGCCGGAATTCATTCCTCACCGCTAGGTTGACTTGTGCGCCAATGGCGGCTGTCCCAGGTGCGTGTATATAAGTATTAGCATATGTAGTACTCTATGTAGAATTGTCCAGAAATGGCCAAATAACCAGGGGGGATTCACCGCAATTAGCACTCCACTGTGGTCCAGACATCTTAGGTCTCAATTATTTTACTCTACTCCGTAACATACTCCATACTCATTTTTTTGGTCAATAGTCAGGCCTAATCTTGTTAGGCTCGGAAGATCTGCCCGCCACGATCCAGACAGGGTCATCCCATGGGGAAAATATTGATTATGAAACTTAGGTACATATACATCTCCCTATAGCACAATGCATAAACAACTCATAGTCTCGTTGGTAGTGCACGGATGTGCGTCATTCCATCCAGACCGAGATTCTGGCCCTAGAGTCAACCCTTTCCTGGTCAATCACTTTCCAAGCTAAGTATACTCCCGGTGGGCTTCCCCAGCAACGCCTGAACCAGCAATGAGATTGCAAAGCCTGTGGATTGCCTGTCCCCCTTCTGACCTGGTCCCGTGGACATACAACATAGATACCCCATACCGGATACCCATACCGTCATGATTCTAGACCAGCCTCCCTCGCAATCGGAGGTAAATCGTGTCAGCTCTCCTATCCACCGCCCTCTCGCTTCATCCGATCTTGCCACCCATTCATGCTCCGCCGAATTCCCAACGTCCGTCGCGGTGCTTGTTGAACCATTGACATCGTCGTGCTGTGGAACGTCGTCACCGGCTGGAACCCGCGAGTGGAGTTCTCGGGTTTCACCTCTGCCCCGGCTGTCCCGCTTGCGGATGTACTATTGCTGCTCTGTTCCTGCGTCATCGACATCGACATCCTGGCAGGTTTCAGGGTTGGCTTTGATGGGGCTGCCAGCCACGTGTAGCCATTTGGGTTTGTAGGCTCTAGTGTCGGCCGTGTTGGGATAAGTGGCCGTGGCTGAACACGGTGAGAGGAGAGAGTAGGTGGGACGATGCCTGCCCCTGAGCGTTGGTTCTGCGAGGGTAGCCCTTCGTATCTGTGGGATGGTGGTGGCTGTGGATAGCTAGGCAGAACTGGTTCCCTCTTCTGGGATCCTGGGCCTGCAAAAAAGTTGGCTATGCTTGCTTGTGTGAGTCCGTCTTTGTGGCCTGCGTTGCTGAGCGGTTTCGGTTTGTTTGCCCTGGCTGCATCTGCATCCGCATCTGCATTTGCCGGAGGTTTTGAGGCTGACTCCGCGGGGGGTTCGGGGTTGGCCGCTATGTAATCACGAGCAGATGTAAAACCCGATGAAACGGTTGTAGGAATGGTGAACCCTGCCGAGTTGTTCATGGTATACCCCGTCGATGAGATGTAGGTAATCGATTTTGGCCCCTGGTTCATGTCTGACCGCCGTCGCTTTGGATTGGGCTCGCCAGAGGCATCATGAGACGTAGATGTGCCATCAAATTTGCTGCGGTCTTCCTCGCCTTCGGGTGTCCATCGGTCGTCCATCGTTGATGGAAGAAACTCGAGCCCCTTGTACATGTCCTCTAGAGATGGCCGAGGGCGACGCAGAATATCGGCAATTGCATACGCCACCTTCTCATGAAGGGACGGTCCCGTTGGCCGAAAGCGCGCTTTGGTCAATTTAGGAGGAAGGAATGGCGTCAAAGTGGTAGCACCATCTTCTCCTTCTCCTAGCCGGGGTTGTCGGATAGGAACACTCAGGTATAACAGGGCCTGTGCTCTTGTCATTGCGACATATAGCAATCGTCTCTCTTCTTCTACCACCTCCGCACGCGAGTGAGGAATGCTCCCGTTGTATACTGCAGGAACAAACACGACCGGCCACTCCAGACCCTTGGCAGCGTGGATTGTTGAAATAGTGACTTTCTCCAGCGGTTGGTCCCCCTCCTTGGTTTCTTCTTTGGTTGTGATCTCCGTAGCTAAGGCGACATTTGCCAAGAACCGAGTGAGAGCTTCCTCACCAGAATGCGTCTGTTGTTGCTGTACACCTTCGATTTCAGGGAGATCCATTTCTTTATCAACCTCTTCGTCTTCAAACGCAGCGACTTCAGTGGCTTGATGCATCAATTCCTTGACATTCGCCCAGCGACTGTCTTCGTCAAGGGGGTACGTTCTGATGAGGTACTCCTGGAAGGAGAGACGTTCGGCAATGAACTCAATCAGAATACGTGGAGCGGATGCATCCTCGCACTCTTGCAACTTCTGTCTAGAGGCTTCAATCAAGTTGACCAAAACGCAAAGTCCTTGCTCTGCAGCCTTTTGCAGTTTCTTCTCAGTTGAACGGCGCCCTTGAATGACATCCTTGATGAAATTCCACAGTGGAATGTTGGCCTTCTCCGAACCACTAATCAACTGCTTGATTGTCTCATCGCCAATCCTTCGTGGCGGAACATTCACAATATTCATCAACGCGTCCGAATGACCCGTATGGCTCACAACCCTCATATAATTGAGAAGAATCTTGACTTCAGTCCGGTCAAAGAATTTTCGGCCTCCAACCATCTTGTATGGTATACCTGCTCTTCCAAAGGCCGTCTCGATTTGGGTGGACAGTGAAGCCGACCGAAGCAAGACAGCAAAGTCAGACATGCGCAATAGACCACCGGTCATCGCTGCACATCGCTTGATCTCAAGTACCATCCACTGCGCCTCTGCATTGGGGGTTGGGAGTCTTCTCAGCACGGGCAAGGTTCCAAAAGAGTGTGTAGCCAAGAGTGCTTTTGCAGGCCGACTTGTATCCTGCTCAATCACTTCCTGGGCTGCATTCAAAATAGAACCCGCAGAGCGGTAATTATCTTCCAGGAGTACAACCGTCGTGTTTGAATAACGCCGCTGCATCCGCTTGAGGTTCTGGATCTCCGCAGAACGAAAGCCGTAGATGCTTTGATCGGGATCTCCGACAATGGTGATGCGTCGGTTCTTAGATGCGAAGAGGTTCATTAGTTCATATTGTATGATGTTAGTGTCCTGGAACTCATCAACCAATACGGCCTGCACATTTGAGACACATTGTGGGTGGTCTCGGAGTAGATCTCCGCATCGCAGGAGGAGGTCATCATAATCCAAGAGATTAGAGGCCGCCAGTGCTGATTCGTAGTCACGATAGATATCAACTAGCTCCAACTCCTCCGCTTTCGCTCTATCGGCTAGGGCATCAGGACTCAGTCCATGTGCTTTATGTCGAGAAATTCGGCCTTGTGCCGCCTTGACTTCAATGCTAGACTTGAGCCGCTTGATGGTTCTCTGCGGTCACAATTAGAGAAGAGAAACAAGCTGCTATAGTATAAAAGTGCTAACCATACCCTGATAATTGCGCGGGTGTCATCCGAATCCGCAATGCCAAACCCCTTCCGCAGGCCGATCAAGTATCCGTACTTAACCAAGTAGCGGCGACATATGGAATGGAAAGTGCCAAGAATTAAGCGCGATTCGAGTTTTTCTCCGATGAGTTTTGCTAGCCGCTCTCGCATCTCACGGCTGGCTTTGAGAGTGAATGTGCAGCAGATAACATCTTGCGGTTGGTATCCGTGATGCGAGAGGAGGTACGCGACGCGTGCGGTCAATGTTTTTGTCTTACCCGAGCCCGGTGGTGCAAGCACTTGCAGTATTGAACCGGATGAAGTGACAGCTTCTCGCTGGGCATGATTCAAGCCATCTAAGATCGGATCCATGACATGTGGGGTGTTTTGACCAATGCTCGGGTGTCTGTGAGGAGACGCGAGCAAACGCGACGTCATGTGACACTTCCGCTCTATATTGAGGAAGTCGATTGTTTAAAGAATTAATGGAATTTGAAGCTGCTACTTATCTCTCAATTATAAAAAATTGATAATTTTGATACAAAATCGCATTGAGGGTGTAATTGTGAGACGACGACCCCCGAAGACCGCAGAGTGGATGGTTGCGGGCTGAATAGAGAGGTTGTGTCCAGGCTTGTGGTATATAGACATCCTATATGCCTGTTTTTGTCTTTCTCAGTTCTATGGTACATGCTGATAACTAACTTAACTAAGCTTGGGCGTTCCTATTCTATAAAATAGACATTCGAATATTTTAATAACCTGACACATACTAAAAATGACATTAAAATAGGCCGTGGTCTCATCATACTTCTAGCCTTCTTTCTATTTTAATGGGTGCCTGACACTATTCTGATACTTGGTACATGTTGATCACAATTTCTTAGACCAAGTGTAGATCACTGCTCTTGAATGTTATAACCCGTGCTGTGTTTCACTATCTATATCATAGGAAGAACAACCGACACGAGTCTTTAGTAATCACTTCAAAAATAACAAAAATAATAAACCTTATACTAACTAAGGTTTTTATGGATACATAGTTAAATAGCGCCAACCTTGACTACTTGTTTCTGCAAGACTGACGGCCCCTCTGCCTAACTCCGCCATGAAAATTACCGAGTTTGGTAGGCGAGGCCTCAAATTCCGCTCCATACAAAGAAGCAGACGAATGAGAAGTGCAAGCTTTATAGAATTGAGCTAACAACGCCTAGTTGAAAGCTAGTCAAGGCAGGTCGTAAGATACCAATATCAGAAGGTTATGCCAAGTAACGTAAGCCCCTCTTGCTTCCAAGGTTAAGGAGATATTCCTTCGTTGCAGCGAGATTCATGAAAAGGATTTCGAATATTCACACAATCTCAATTTCGGAGGGAAAAAAAATCCAATTATTTCATTATGTCGATAACCATTGGTAGTCACTTGGCGCACAGTGCGTCGTAGTGCTACGAAGGACGGCACGGAATGGATACACGGATTCATTAAAAATGATTGACATACAGGATTATAGTGGAGCTTTCTAGACCGTGACTCCAGTCATCTGAATTTCCTAATACGTTTTTACGCCAGGATTTGACGCAGACGCCAAATCTCAAGCCGAGTAAAGATGACATGTGGTCATTGGATCTAGATGAACTAAGCATCCGGAGTCCGGAGTTAGAATTTGGGACTTTTGTATGAAATGCAACTAAATGAAAACTCGGATTTGAAATGTGTTTCCCGTGCCTCGGAGGTATCATTGCATGACTCGCTCACAAAGTTCCTTACCACCTACTGATATTTGAGGTTATCTCTTTCGATCTTCACCGGCAGTGGGCCCGATGTCTCCCGTCCTTCCGGATTCCGACCTGCCTATCTGATACAAGCGTTCAAGCAAAGCGGGACAGGCCTGACGATTGCAAGGATGCATGGTCCATTATTATGTGGCGAAGCTCGGGATTGTGCTGCTGTACGGAGTAGTGGTTGAAAAGTTTGTATTGGTTTGAAGTCATAGTCATGCGAAGAAGAGAGAGACGAGAGGGGTTGGTTAGACCACAAAAGGCAGGTCAGATGAAGACCTATAGTAGACCTTCCATTTCCAGTATTAGTCGCCCGCCGCTTTATCATAATTCTTATTAGATTGCCTAGGCCCTGGGGTTCTACCACCTTATGCACGACATGACATTCACCTGCCTATAACAGGACCTTATCTCTCTCTGTCATAATTAAAAGCCTGAAAGGTCTTTTCGGGGTGACTTAGTTGTGGTGTATGAGCTTGAACGTTGTTGCCTGGCATCCTTGAGCTTCAGTTGCTCAAAATATAGAATGTCTGTCGACTAGGCAATAGAAAGTCAGCAGATTGCGTATGATGTTCGGTATGTAGACAGGCTTCTGAGCAATTAGGTCGTCTTTATTTTAAGGTATCATCTGCGAGTTAACTTGCCATGATTAAATGTAACATCCAATTCTGCTTAGCGAGTCTAGTTTGTATCAAATTGCATCAAAGTGCAAATGGTAGAGAAATAACGAATAGATTGAGCTTTCATGCTTGAGTGGTCTGGCTATAAGTACATATTGACTTTTAAAAACTAGCACACGAAAACAGACATGTTTCCAATTTGGGGACCCTAGGTAGATATTGAATTAGTACTTTTTGTTGGCAGCCAGCTCGTGGGAGAATGCACTCACCATATAAACAAGATTACGGTGAACGATGCGCCAGGTACCAGTAGGTTGATGTTGCCAGTTATCCTGATATTGGCCATAGGCATAGTCTATCTCATTCTCCTTGTCTCCTTTCCCGAAGTGGGCGGCACGGAAGTATGTCACCGACTTGGCCGTGATGGGAGAAAGTACATCGATCCGTTGTGTACCGTAAAGATGTTGCGTGGTTACACATCCCAGGCTCGTGCTCAGCACAGATTGAATCGTTTTCAGAGGGGTTAGCACATCAAGGGGCGCCGAGTAGTTGGCTGTTGCGTCGGTGGTAAAGACCTTGCTAAGAGCGTCGAAGTCTTTGCCATCAATAGCGAAAGCATAGATGGCTAGTGTATTCCGTATTGCTTCAATCGTCCCAGCATCGGTATAGACCTCGGGCGCGTAGCCACTGGCAAGGGACGAAATCTCGATTGGGGCGACATCGTTAGTCGTAGATGCCACAGTTGAGCTCGCGATGGCAAAGGAGAGTGCGCAGAAAGAGAGGAATTTCATTTTGTCCACAGATAAACCAAATAAACATACAGAAAGGCAAGGTTGGAGCAAGGATATTGTTCTTTATTATAGGATACTTTTTTCTTTATAATCCTGCGTTCACCAATCTCAATCTCAGGTTCCCTGAGATCCGAGATGGAATGAACAGAATATCCTCACTTATTCGGGGCAATTGCTACTCATAAGCTAGTGTCGGGCCAAAATTTGAACTAATTAGAATAGCGCGAAAGGCTTAGCATCCAGAATGTCCACTGACGAATATGATAGAATGATACAATTCAAATCCGTTATGGAGAATGCTGTGATAGGATAAAAGGCCCTCGCTTCGGGCATTAGATCTCGAAGTGGAGGCAGCAAGGTTACATTGGCCGTGTCGGCTGAATGCGAGGCCCGTGGGCTTTTCTCCAATTTGACAATTTCTCAGGGTTTAGTCCATCGGCTGTGGCTGCGCCAGCGACATTAAACCGAGCACGAGCGCAACCAAAATATCTAGGCACAAGATAGTCTAAAAATTTCATACAGACTACGATTCCCTGAACTATGCATATCGTGATACAGATATAGTTTATGACAAGTCTTTAGTTGGGAAAGCAATATCAAAGAACAGTAATGAGGAGTCTCTCAATCCTCGAACCCACACCTATTCACAGTGTTCTTGTTACGCACGAATATCGGTTCGCCCGGTTCAGAACAGAAATAGATTTATCGCGCTATACGCAACAAGAATAGTCGGTCACTTATGCGGCCTTGTGATGTCTTTTTGGTGGTCTTTTCGGATGTTCCTATCATATGTCGTTTTAGGTGTATACAAACGCGGTAAAAAGTATACTTTGTGCAAGAGACTTTTCTATGGGTAACCTTTGATGATAGCTGATAGCTCTTGATGGCGCCATATTGACTACAAAATGTGTGTGGAAGATACTTGATACTAACCCACCACTAAGCGATATAGGCTACCCGTAGACAACCTCGGTTCTAAGCTTCGACAATACACTACCTGTAACCTATACAAGGCGGCTATATGGCTCTTGGATCAACTACGCACGGGCCATTTTAGCTATCCACATCTGCCAAGGCCCACGGTTTTATATTTGACAACGATTAGTATGTGTGCAGCGCGTAGGAAACAGTACTTACGTACTGGTGGCTTACGCAGTACCAAGGCATCAGACGCGGAGACACAAAGGTTATCCTAGGATCGAATTGGAGATTGGAGTCAACGAAAAGTTTCGACATATTTGGATTAGCATCGGATATACTATGTAAGACCAAGCACAGGGCTGAGTCAATATTGTACCGAAATTTACTTTAGTGAGCCTGACTCGAGTATAGTCACACCCTCACAAAGTGGCAGCTAAAGTAGGTCCGGTAGTAGAGAAAAGCCAGTATACTGGTGAAAGGGTACGGATTAAGTAACTATAAATTTCTCGGCCAAAGAGAAGACTCTGTATTAAGAATGTAATGCTCGCTTGAGTAACGCTTATCCTGAATCATGCAAATACACCATACCAGCCACGCTGGTATATGCCAAATCGAAATGAAATCACAACAAAACCAATCAATATTCCCAAAAGGGTATCACGCCAGCATATGTCCTCTGGAAATCAGTAAAGGACATCTTCCAAAAAAAAAGGAAAGGGAAAAAATATCAAGAGAAGATGCCCAAGGGCAGTGTCATGGCCACTTCGAAGTTGGGCACGTTGACCACTTCGGCAATATGCAAGTCACCAGCAACACTAGCGAGAATGTATGCCTCGCTGCGGGTGAGACCCTTAGTCTGCACCAGCCACTGTATAAGATTCCGAGTAGCATTTCTGGTAGCCTCGTATAGGTCAGGAGCAATACCGAGAGCCCCGTAGGTTCCAAGGTCGGGAAGGGGGTTCGGTATTTGGGCGCGGGGAGGAGTCTGGAATTGGGGAGCAGTCATCCAGGGCTGGTTCTTGAGGAGCTCAAAGCGGAGGGTAGCACGGATCGGGGTCTCGATGGCGGTGCCGCAGACCTCGCCATGGCCCTGCGCAGCGTGGCCATCACCACAGCTGAAGAGGGCGCCGGCGGTTTGAACGGGGAGGAAGACGGTGGAGCCGACGCTGAGCTCTCGACAGTCCATGTTTCCGCCGGCATTTGTGGGCGGCACGGTGGAGAGTTCTTCGTCGTTGGCTGGGGCGAGACCCATGCAGCCGAGGAAGGGACGCAAGGGGATCCGCATGTTCTTGAATTGGGCGAAGCCTGCTTCACGGTTCAGCTCCCAAATCTTGATCTCGGGCTCTGAGAACTCGTCTGCCAGCAGACCGAAGCCTGGGATGATAGCGGACCAGCCCCAGTCGGCAACCTGAAGGTCTAGGACTTCCACTTTGAGGACATCGCCGGGTTGGGCGTCGTTCATATAGATTGGGCCGAAGACGGGGTTGACCCGGTCGAGATCCAATGCCTTGATGGCTGAGGCCTTGGATGACGTGTCGAGTTGGCCATTGCTACTGTCAATAGCATCGAAAGAGACAGTCTCGCCGGAGGAGACGGTGAACTTGGGGGTATTCCGACGAGACCACTTTTGGTGGCCACATTCTCTTCCCACATGGAAGTTACTCCATTCTTTTGGTGCCATGTCGGATATTTGAGGGTTCCCGGGTTTCTGTCAGGGTCATTGAAGAGAGATAATATATGGAAAGAAAGATATGAACGCAATAACGGAAATGGAAAAAATTAGACCAGAAGGGGAAAGGGAAAAAAATTCGTGGAATATACGGGCGATTTTGTATCTAACGAGCTCGGGAGATCCTCTGCAGGGTTGACCATTCTGGAAGGTGGCTAGAGCCGGATCTTATGCTTCTTTTGCTTGCTCCACCCGGACACTGAATCGCCTGCCTAAAGTGGTTTGACAGGTTTCCAACAGATTGGTACTGCCCCCCCTGTTGGTGCCTCTGGATTTTCAACAGTACGTAGATCTATTGGACTAGGAATCCCGAGGTTTGGTTGGATAACAGGGTAAAAGCGGCAGCGATAAGCAGACGACCTTGTAGGGCGGGGGAGGTTACGGAGAGGCCGATGGTGGAATTTTATACGAAAATCCATCCTGCGGTGTTAATTTCGATGTATACAATATAAATTCAAATTGCATCATCTACAAAAAGGAAAAGCGGGCAACCCAAGTTTCCCTGAACTTTCTAGATTTCCTAGATTTATTGGAATCCGTATAAATAACGCCACGATTGAACTAATTCCGCCCTCTCATTAAAGCGGCAGCTCAAATAAGGAACCCCCCCGGCTCGGACCAAGAGATGAAAAGAAGAAATAGTTAAAATGATAAAAGAATTTTATTTCAAAAAAAGAAAAAAGAAAAAAAAAAAAAAATCCAAAAATGGTCTAAAATGGTTCAACACCACCTTCTTCATTGGGTAAGGAGCGAACCGTTGGTAGGCTGTGAGTGGCACAGCTGCATAACATTTTTACAAGTGGAACTTTGGCCTTTAGTATTACTAACTATAGAAGTACCTGTATATAGAGTAGTAGAGTAGTATATCTTCTGTAGCATAGGATATAAAATTTAGATCTCAAGATTCCTGTCCGTCCAACATCGCTATAATACACGTTGCATTGTCACTGTGAGGTTTGTTAGCACTATTGGTGGCGATTTCTTGTGCAATTTCATTTGCTCGTTTTCCCCGCATCGATAATTTCATCACGTGCTGAACCAGGTTCGTATCGTCCACTCGATCGGTAACTCCGTCGGACACCACTAGTAACAGGTAACGGCGGTCCGTGTGCAAGGTGCGTCGTGAGGTGTAAGGGTCATTGGATAGGAAGTTGCCCCGAGATTCCGATCGGCTGGTAGCTGACGAGGCAGGGTCTGGCACGGAGTTGTCCATAAGAGTATTTACCGGATTCTTGTACTGCAGGTCGCCCAATGCTCGAGACATATTCAAGGACCCTGTCCTTGGAGAGTCAGTATCTAATTTGGAAGGTCCCTCTCCTTTTTCAACCCACCAAGACGCTCTGTCCCGCTGCGGTTGTTAACTACCCCGCCTGCCTGCTCAATTCGGGTCTTCTCGCTGGGAGTTGAGGGCTTGTGGGCCTCTGTAAGCCGTCGCTAGTGTGTGGCTGTTAGTATTCACGCCCAAATCAACTCAAATCAACAACAGTGCGTACAATGTGATACGGATGCTCTGTTTTCCGGTCCCGCTCGGCTAGGATAACATGCGAATCACCCAGATTGGAGACCATCAACTCGCCCTTAGTGAGATTAAGGCAACACATTGCTACTGTCGACCCTGAAATGGCAGGCTCGGCAGATTCATGCTCAAACCTATCTAACAGGATACTGTCTTCTTCTGCCAGTGCTGCCTTGATAGCCGCGGCCCAATCGTCTTGTTCAAACTCCGGACGCCGTCCGAGCAGATGGTGCAGACTTTTATGGACTTGTTCTGAAACAAATCCAGAACCGCTGGAGATCTTGGTCAGTTCAGGTCTGGTCTAAGGGGCGGCATTTCGAGGCCTTCCTTACTGCCCGTCATAGATCGCGAAGAATGCGACATTGTCCTTCATGTTCGAAGGAAACTGGTTCGGAAAAATCACTGCACATCGATCCTCTTGATACTTCCTACCACCCTGGGACTGCCATTTGATTTTATGTAAGTACGATGGCTGTGCGAGGGCCATGCGCCATGACACTCACTTGACCAGCCCCAGCATCAAAGAGCGTGATTGCGTCTGAGGTAGACATTGTTTTGCGGAACATTTGGTCCCTCATAGCTCTGTGGGCCACAACCATGCTTGGCAGTTGATGTGCAAGGATCAATCTCTCGTAAGAGCATTGACAAGCCCTGGATGCTCTGTCACGATATCTGTGGAGGAGGGTGATGATGATGCACTGACATCATGAACGCCTTCTGTTTTTAACTGATGCGAGGTTGTTTACCGATATCCAATTGGTGGCTTTCAATGGCTTCCCCGGAGCCCATTCCTTCCCCAGACAGCCCTGGATATTTGCCAGTAATTTCTGATATCTGACTGCAATGATTCTTTTCTTCCTCGGCACTTAGGACAGTGAGCGTAGTAAATTCTCCTCTTTTAGATATCTCACTTGAATGAGTCTAATTAATCCCCCAAACCATTGAAATATCCTTTACCAAAATAGTATTTAAGCTTCTATCAAACAGACTCTAAATACTGCATAGATCTTCCATTGATAGCGCACGGGCCAATTTTCTCGGCGAATCTGCAAGATTCTGACTCTAATCAGGAACAACCTTTGAACTCATTTTTCTCACTTTCCACGCATTTCAGATTTAGTTCAGCATGGGCTGGGTAGGCGCGGGTGTACTAATAGCAACAGTAGGCTACTTTCTCTACCGCTACCCTCCTCGCAACTGGGCCGAACCCCGTTCTTTTGCCTCTCCGGAACCCAAACCCGGTGCGCCGGTTGCCACTGACACCGCAGACGAGCCCGTGCAACGGAAGCATGGTTCACGAGTCTCAACGCCATCAATAGAGACAGAGGAGGAGGAGTCCCAGAGCACACCCAAGGCTTCGGCGTCGAGCGCGCCACTCCCCGTCCTTGCGGTCCCCACATTCAGCCTGGACAGCGGCGAGAGCAAGACATCGCAGCCCACCACGACGCCGTCCATTTCACAACCCATGAATGGAACAGCAGAACAACTATCTTCCACAAAACGTGATCATGGCGCACCAAAATTCCAACCGTCAGCGCAGCCATCCCTCGCACCCCCTCCGAAACCACAACCGTCACCCATACCCGCAAAGGCAACAACCACCGGCGCCTCTTCCCTAATGCTTCCTCCCCCAGTGCCACGGCCCCGACCAACAACACAAGGGAACCGCCTTACCCCCACGAGCACGCTCCAACCCCCACGGCTCAGTGGCAGCTCCCTTGGCCCGCCACCATCAGCAGCCGCCTCTCAGCGCGGCCTGGGCCCACCGAGCAGCGGCAGCCGACTTAGCAACAGTACCCTCGCCCCGACACAAGTGTCTCTGAAGAAGTCATCACGCAAAGTGATTCTCCAGCCAGGGTTCTCCCCCCTTGACTGGGCAGCGCTAGCTGCGAACCCGAAGAACAACCTCCGCGGCGAAGGCCTTCCCCCAGGCCTGTTGCGGGTCACACCATCAATGCTAAAGGAGTACAATGGGCGTAAGGGCCGTGATGCCTGGACTTCGTACAATGGAAAGGTGTACAACATCTCTCCCTACGTCCCTTACCATCCAGGTGGGAAGGGTGAGCTCCTTCGTGGCGCGGGGAAGGACTCTGCACAGTTGTTCCAGGAGGTTCACCCGTGGGTCAACTGGGAAGGGATCCTTGGCGAGTGCCTGATCGGAATTCTAGTTTCGGAGCATGATATCCAGACTGAGAATGCTTTGGATGCGATGGACTAATACTTGATTCACTTTTTGATCGTTGTTTTACCTTGCTGTAATTGTTCAGCCGGTTTGTATACAGTGTACATCTTACCACATAGAAATGAGATACCCTGCTGCTATATTATACAACAACTCGCATTCGAAAAGGTATATATTTGTTCTTGGCCGGATATCATGGCCTAGTCATCAGAACTCCTCCCAGAGAGTCACGTAGATAGGTATCGAACACCGCTAATTCAAAGCTCATCCTTCACGCCGTCAATACCGACCAACTCGGTCTCAAACACCAACGTCGCACCGCCGGGGATAGGGCCAATACCGCGGTCGCCGTAACCGAACTCGGGCGGGATAGTCAGCGTGCGCTTCTCGCCAATGCACATGTCAAGCAAGCCCTGGTCCCATCTGTATACAACGAACACAAAAATTAGCTTCTAGCTTCCATATGAATAACCAAGATAATGGGGGAAGTTTGTAGGCAATTCCACGATTGACATCTTCAAACAGCCCCAGATAACTTCCAACTCACCCCTTGATGACACGACCGGTACCCAGCTTGAATGTCAAAGGCGCTTTGCGCTTGTAGCTGGAATCGAACTCAGATCCATCGGACTGCAGGGTGCCGCGGTAGTGCATGGCAACTCCGTCGCCGTTGGTGGTCTTGCGGGTGCACTCGACGGCGTGGGTTACTTCGATGCCGAGCTCGGCGGCAGCGGCGAGCGAGCCGAGGGCTGCCACGAGGATGGAGGTGAGACGCATTGTGTGTTTATGGGGGTGGATCGGAGGGGAATTGGCGAGGTGAGGAGTTTGGGGATGTGGACAGATGGGCGGAGATGGGACCGAGGTTTAGCGTTGGTCTGTGCTTTAAGCTTCAAGCCCTGGGTGTTTGCGTCCATGGTTGTCAATCAAGGATCTATTACAACTTTAGAATATATTTATTGCTTATTGTCTATATTTTACTAATTCTGGACTAGATATCTAATTGGCATCCAGTAAAGACACCAATTGAAGTAGAGGCTGGATATATAGGTAGGTGGCTGTAACTACATAACTAGTAGTTGTATACTTTAGAGCATTTGAATATTTGGTGTTATTATTGACTACGATTATGTGGATATCCCACCGTGGCTTTATCTTATCAATTGTGATCCGAGCAACTGTTGGTTTTGAGCTCATCTGGGGATGTCATTACATCCCCATTCCTGGCCTTCGGCCATTCTAGCCCTTCACCGTCTGGTCCGCGAGTTTATCGTTACCGTTAGGAAGACCCGGGGCCATGACCTGGTCGGCAGCCGCCTTCAAATCATCCTCGCCCATATCTCCATCCCAGCCGTTGGAAACAAGGTAAGCACGGAACTTCTCATCGCGCACCCTCAAGTCTTCGCCCGTCAAATCAGGCACAAAAAAGAAAGTAACCAAGATGCCGATGACACCACAAATAGCAGCAATAATGAAAGTCCACTTGTTCCCCAGACGATCCTTGATAGGCTGAAACGCCTGCGTACCGACAGCAGCACCCGCCTTCCCAATAGCCGCAGAGAGCCCGTAACAAGTCCCTCGCACTCCGGTAGCATATGACTCAGATGAAATTAGACCGAGCATATTGCCCGGACCGAAATTTCCCGAGCTCTGCATCAGTCCATAGAAGACGATGAAGAGAGGCACGATCTTCGTAATACGATCGTAGGCGCAACCGATAATTAGGCCAAAGATCAGATATCCGCCGAAGCCGATCATCATGATGCGCTTGCGGCCAAGGCGGTCACAGAGAATGGCTCCGAGGAAAACACCCGGCAGCGCGATTGCACCGAGGAGAAGCTGCCATTCGCCTGTTTTCAGAATTGTACCGTCATGCACGACCGAGGAGATGATTGTACCGGAGAAGACGCCGTTGGGGAAAGTGACAAAGTCTGAACATATTAGTTTCCGTGGCTCTAAAAGTACTGGGGGGCGCTCTTACCGTAGAGGAACCAAGCACCGCAAGTCCCAATCAATGCTTTCCAGTAATACCACAGCACGAGCATGTAGGGTACGTGCTTCTTGATCGCTCCGCGTCGGTACAACACTGAGTTCAGCATGCGGATTCGAAAGTAGAACACCGACAGCGGCCAAATGCATCCTATGCCAAAGCACACCCGCCACACGGTGCTATAGTGGGATTGCTGACAGGCCAAGAGTACGATCAAGAAGATTGAAACTGCGAATGGGCCCCCAAATGACAAGGGGAAGTTGGTCACCATGATGAATGCCGGGCCACGGTGCTTCGGGGTCAAATCGTTTGCTGCTTCCGAGGCGGAAGTTGAAGAGGCCGGATACTCGCCGCCGGCGCCTGGACATGGTTAGCAGAGTAACCAAACCGGAATGATGTCTTTGGGATATGCAAGTAATGCAAATATGTAGGGTTTACTTACCGAACCCGACAACGCCACGGGCAACCGTCATCATCCAGAACATGCCATTGATGGTAACGCCATGCGAGGCTGTAGCGAGAATACCCCCAATGACAATCATAAGGGTTGTGAAGACGATAGCGGTCTTACGACCGAGATAGTCGCATGTCAGTCTGGTATAGCTTCGTCAGTCATAAGATCCTTTCCATAGTCCTAACTTTTAGTAGTGTGTTTTCAGTACCCAATGACAACCTGTCCAATGACTTCGCCGACAAGTAGAGCATTCGAAACGCGCGTGCTGACAGTGCTAGTGTACTCCTTGGGATATTCCTTCTTAAGGAGGACGTTGGTCATAGTCCTGTGAGGTGTTCCACAGTTAGACATAGTCATGTATGGGGGCAATCACTCGACCCACATTAGATTGTTTTGGTATCCATCGCTGATCAGGGCGAAGCCGCTTGCAAACTATTGAATAACATCCAGTTAGTCAGTCTATCAGTTACTATCTTGAACTGCGAGTGCGGGGGGAGTAGAAAATAACCTGGCATGCATAGGCTTGGATGAGATACTCACAATAGTGAAAAGGTCTGAGAGACTCTGCTGCCTCGGCGACGTATCCGATGAATGAGCAGGGTCAACTTGGTCGATAGTGTCTTGAGTCGCAGTCTTGGACTCATCGCATCCAGGGAGCGCGGTCAAGTTTCGTGCTGAGGCCATTTCGACAGCCCTTAGGAGATGGGGTTGGGAAAGTTTTGGATTGTGGTCCTTCCAGATAAGACTGGAGGGGTCAAGGGTGTCAAGCACCCCTGGCAATCCGCTGCTGCTTATTTCATTTTCGACCTGTCGTACAAGTTGGAGCGGGGAAGGCCAGTCCTATGGTGGAAATAGTTAAGCGTATAATTAGAATTAAGCCAATGGCTTATCTACGGTTGGCTTTAAGAGTTGGGCTTGGTGTCTCGTGATGTCAAAGCACGTGGGTTACATATACAAAAATATATAGTTAAGATGGATCTTGCTGGGTCTACCTAGGTCTACTACTAGTATGGTTAACTATTGGTTTACTGCTTGATTGTCCTCAGTGAAATAGTTCTGATAGTTTTTCATTCATCGGCTTAAGTAGATAGACTCACTAAAGTAACGCCGGATATGAGTATGGCTAAAACTGGCCCGGACCCCGTGGGTATCACAGATGCAGAAACGATTTTTGACCATAATAGAAAAGTTTGGCAAAGAAAGCAAAGACATGACACATTATTGGGAAGAAGAATGTTCCCGGATTTTTCATCATCACAGAAGCAACAGAGATGTCTCTATGCCCATTTGCCCAACAATGCCATGAGGGCAGCTCCGGCACAAAGAAGGAAGAAGGCAATCAGCACATCGCGGATGGGAGCCTTGCGCATGGAGTGGCTGAACATGAACTCATGCGCCATCAGCTCAACGAGGGCAGTGTAAATGAGAATTCCAGCGGAGATGGAGTCAAAGACACCGTTGACGATGAGTGTGGTTCGGCCGGTAGGCGGGTAACTGTTTCGAACACCTAAGCCAATAGCAATAGCAATCGGAGTCGAGATTCCAAAGGCAAAGCCTAGGAGGTAGGGAGTGTTGCGCTTCGATTTGGGCCAGGGGATGGTAGCCAGACGAGAACCAAGACCAAGTCCTTCAAAGGTTTGGTGGAAGACAAGGACAATGTAAAGAGTAGTGAACTCGGCACCAGATACCGCAAGAGTGAGACCAATGAAAACAGAGTGGAAGATGATACCGAACTCCAGGATGAAGATCGAAGTAAGCTGAGCGGCGTAGTCCTCAGCCGCTTGGATGTCGTTTTCAGAGTCGCTGTTATCATGGTGCTCACGGGTATGACTAAGGTGGTCCTCTCCTGGCATGTGAATCTTCGGCTCATTGGTTTCGTTGACAATAGAGTGGTCGTCGAGTTGGGTGTGGGTATTGCCTTCCTCATCGTGCAAATGGCCTTGGCCAAAGTGCGAGAAACGCATAACCATCAGCTCCACAAAGAAGAGAACAACAATGGTCATGAGGATGATGCCCTCGACCCAGCTGTATTCGGTAATTGGGCCGGTCAAGCACTCGTTTTTAAGTGCTTCCTCTGCGGGAGCCAACAGGTGAATGAAAGCAGTGGCAATGATCACACCGGATCCGAAGTACTTGGCGACGAAAAAGGCCCATTTGGGAAATCCACCGTTCTTGCTAAAGCGACGGGCGAAGACGGGGAACAGAGCACCAAACATGGAGCCAACCATGATCACAAAGATGGAGGAGATACGCAGGCCCATGCGGCCGTCGAACTCATTCCCGGATTCACAAGCCTCCTCGCGCTTGAGGAGAGTGGAGTAAGATTCCATTATGTAGAGGTGAGACAAAAGAACGTCCGTGGGAACCAATGAAGTGCACAGAATACAAGAAGAAATGTAGACAAGGGTGCAAGTGTCCCAATTGAGGAGAGAAGAATTTGTGATTAAGGTGAGATGAGACGAATGAACTTCTAGCAGGGGGTGTGTGGGAGGCTAGTTGACCGCAATCCCCAAGGTCCTCGATGGTAGGCGAAATGCGTACTTAGTCCACTAACCACGCATGAAATTACCAGGAGATCCTGACAATATCACACTTTGTGTGAATACTGATTGAACAGAAGATAGCGAGAAGGAAATAAAAGGTTTCTTCTTCTGGCTGCTCGTGTAATTGAGTCGCACTGTGAAGTCGCACGGTGCAGACTTTCGATGGGGTTTTCTAGTCAGAATGAGTACCCTGGGAGCAAGGGCCGGAAAATTCAGCCGATATAGAGATAATAAATCAATCAGTTCCTTTAAATGGACCGAATCAAGACCGAATCAGATTTTGCAGGATCTTGATTATATTAATCATCCGTGGCCCTGGAGGGGATCCATGGGGACCTTGGGAGCTCGAAGACGTCAAGCACGGAATTTTTACACTCTATTATCCCGGTACCGGGTACTTGATCACACATACAATTGTGGGTGTAACCGGAAGTACCCGATACTTGGAACTAGCGCGTTGAGGACCTTGGGAGCCAGTCCACGTCTCCGATTGTGGTTGCGGTGATTAAGTCACGTGGACAGGAGATAAGGCCCTTTCTGTATCCCGATGTGTGTGGTTGTGTCATCTTTTTGTTCTTGATGGAATAGGATAGGAAGACTAGAATGATTAAAAAGGGTTTGAAGGAACGTGGTTGACAACCCCATTCAGAGGGAGGAGAGAGTCCTTTCAGCCCTTGGACGCGTCTCTATCGCCAATCGGAGGATCGGCGGCAAAAGCGCTTGGCATGAGCTTGAGGTCATCAGGGAAGCCTTTCGACCACGCCCTTGCGCAACACATTCGAACATGGCTCCCATTCGACGATACCTTCGCATTAGCAAATACTCAGTGCTGGAATGTCGCATTTATCTGGAATCTCCATCTGATTCACGATGGCTCTTAGACTCCCGCGATCCTGTCCTGCCTCGCGTTATCGCTGCTGTTCGACCGTTGGTCCTTCCGAAGCTGCGTGAAGAGAATGAGCGGTTGTTCATGCGCAAGAAGGGCAAGCCGGTCAAAGATGTCATTGCAGAAGGTATTTACCCCTTGATATTCCTCGTATAATGAACCAGGTATGTTAACACATTCCCTAGATGAATTCGAAGTGGCTATCTTCCTCCGCGAATCCCGCACCCGCCATTCGCTCCTCACGCGCAATAAGACATTCCACGGAAAGGAAAACGAGGTTAAAGACTGGAGATTGGAGCTGAAACCAGATCATGTCTCAGGGGATACGGCTGCCAACCCGGTGAATTCGGCAGATGGCGAAATTATGATCGAGAGTGACAGTGAGGCTGATCTGGAATTGCACAACATTCCCGAATCCGAGGATGAAGTTGCTCTGGGGAACGGACGTCGGTCAAGCAAGAGAAGTCGGATAACTAGGAGAGACCAGGTGCCACCCGAAGACACGGCGGGCAGTGACGAAAAGAAGCTCCGTTTCAGCACCCATTATGAAAGCTTCAATATCCATGGATGGGTGTTATGTCTGTTGATCTCCCGCAAGGGCGACAAGACCAGACCAAGTGTGGGGGTATCTGAGTCAAATCGGCAGCCTCTGATGGAAGAATGGATTTCAACTCAAGCTCAGGCTTCTGTTGATGACGATTGATCCAAGATAGGTCAGCAAGTGTGGACTTGTGGACCTGGCAATTTTCAATATAGCCGACCCGTGGACAAGCATCTTGTTTGCGGTTAAGCTTTCTCAACCTCGTAACGTGGGCAGCCGTGGTGGAATGATTTGGAATGATCAGTCGCAAAGGGCCCTGTGACACTGCCAGCACCGCCAGACCTATTGGTGATGTATTTTGTTCCAACGCTCTGCAAACGCTACAAAATTTTGCTTCAATTTGCCCGCGTCGCAAACACTTCGTCAGAGACTTTGTATCATCTTGAATCATGGGCTTGGCGACTCATGTCACGCGGTACGTCGACTTCGGTCTACGAGGCTAGATGTCACATAGGAGAGCACAACATCTTCCCACTACCGGGCCGCGACAGGACTTGCACTGTATGATGCTGTGATCGGCAGGTTGGTGTCACCAAAGATCAGACAGGTTACACAAGTGGCGGGCTGTCATACTTCCCAATGACTTCTTCAGGCACGGTGTCAGGCGGGTAGACACAGCCGCCGAGACGAAAATGCCAGCTACGGGACCCCGGGCGCATGCAACCAGTGACATCTCGATGATCTGCATGCCATAAGACATAGCGTAATATTAACTTGGCTACTCCCATACACGACTTTCTGTTTACATGTCTCAGTCGCATTAATGACACTCTAAGACAACATGGACAAGGGCATGAAACTAGTCTGTCTCACGCATTCCAATTTCCTCGGAGACATTTCGATTCCACCCAACCTGAAAACCCCCCATGTGGTATGGGCTCTCGCTACCTCGGGCCGCAACTTCCAGAAGGCAAGCTAGAAGATTTTGAAGTGGAGCTTTACTTGAAACAACCCGTCTCCATCTCGTCCCGTGACCCCAACACCTCAACGGAGAAGTGTTTGAATCCCGATGTGCTGGATTCGGGGTGGAGGGGGGCATGAGTATGATCCAGTATCGAAATTTAATACAAATCATACATGTAATTTTTCCATTGACTATACTGTGTAGCATATCAGCGTCTATACCTAAGCATCAGAACCACTCTTTAAAATATCTTGGCCTCTAAATCTACAGCCAATAAACAGCTATTTGAATATCTCAAACCGATCGTACTACGATCAGGGGCGAATTCCCGATCTGTTTCGAAAGCCGAACCTTGGAACTTAGGTTATAAATCTCCGACTCCTAAATCGCAACTCCACTTCTAGCTTTTCCAACGGTGCGGAAGAGATGGAATCCAAGTGGAGTAGACTTTGAGTAGGTGGGATTGTTTATTGAACCTTGGAAATTCGTGGACCGCTAGTTCATAGGTAGAGTTTTTTTTTTTTCCTTTCTTTTTTTTGCCACTTTTGCCACTTTTCCCACTTTTTCCTTCCCCCTTTCTTGGTTCCCCGGGCTTTTAGCTCAGGTACACCCGTATGGTCGCATAAATTCCATATGTTTGCCACTTGACACCCCACTCCGTACTCCGTAATACCTTACCTTTTTTATCGGACGCGGTAAGCCGGGTAGTCGAATTATGCTGTTATTAATATACGGAGTACTCCGTATGGAGTTCCAATTATTCCTATGCCGTTTGTAATTCCTTTCACCTGCCCCTTTGAACATTCACGGGGTCTTGCAAATCCCGAGCGGTACACCGTTGTACCCGCACTTAGGGTATATGAGCATTAGAACGGTATTACTACATAGGGCAGAGTGTATTTACATATATTTCCTACAGAAATATGGAGTACAATAATATGTCTAATGCAATAATCTCTCCACCTGAATTTACCAAGTGCCATAATCCAAAAAAAAAAAAAAAGAAAAAAGACAAGGTCAAGGTCAAGGGATATGGCGGGTGTAATGGGAAATCATTGCATTATTTTAGGCCCAAGATAATTTCCGGGGAACATTGTAAACATCCCGAAACTGGGGAATTTTTATAGGTAAGTAGTACATAGTAGTAGTCTGTACACTATATACATTTACACATCCAGTTTACGCAAGATGTTCACACCACACACATTCAACAGGCCATAGTGATCACGCCATGAACGCCACACCAGGGGTGAAGTAGATCTCCCACCGTGAAACTTAAGGCCCAGTGATGTGCACAATGCAACCACTGGGGAGATTGGGGGGAAAAAGTTGGACAAACCCCTCTCGGCAATATTTACTAATAGCCAATAAATTATGAGGACTGGGGTCAAATTGTATACAGGGATCCATCTTTCTCCAGATGTGCTACAGTATAACGCTGTCTTGCATACTTTCAAAATGATGATGTGCAATGCACAGTCCTCTGCAGCAAGACGATCCCACCCAGGGACCATCAGCCACAATTACTATAGGCGGAGGTTAAGCGGCTCTGTACTCCGCGGGGGTTGATCCTATATGCCAAAACGACCCCAAAATTGGCCTTGATTTGTATTACATGTTGTTATTATGTTGTAGAGCTCTAGGGGCCTAAGCGGGAGTGGTAGACGATAATAGAAAGATAAGAGGGTACGGAGTACGGAGCGAAATATAATCAGGTGAAATAATAGCCGAAGTGCCATATTAACCTAATCCGTATATACGGAGAACTAAAAGCGAAACCTGTTAGAAGTTAAAAGAAACTCATATATGTATTACTCCTCCAAAGGTTCTTTCTATTCTTACATGTCTCAACCACGGCTTTCTTTAGTTTGGTAGCACGGGTAAAAACTACGGTTTGGGATGGGTCCTCGATTCGAGATTTAAACCCTGCTGCAATTTTTATTTTTTATTTTTTTATTTTATTTTTCATTTTCACTTATTTTCATTATCTTTTCTTTTTGGCCCCTGATCCCGTTCCACTCTGGCCGTTGTTATCTGGATGGCGTATATGTGCATATGTGCCTGGCTAAGTTAGCATATTCAGTATGTATATGATATGTCACATCAGTTTGGAAGAAATGCGTACAACATATGTTGTAGGATAAACAGTAATCCCAGCATTCTGGGAACTCGGCTGTCACGCCCTTTTAGTGTGTAATCAATACGAATCGTCCATTCCGTTTGACCCTAAATCGATGGAAGCTAAAAAAAAAAAAAAAAAAAAAGGAATGGAATAGTGTCCTAATGTGATTTTACTTTTACTTTTTCTTTTTCTTTTTCTTTTCTTTGCTTTTTTTATTCCCTTCCGTTCTCTCTTAGGATCTGCAAACATGCACGCACGTGTTGTGACCTGACGTCTGTTCTCTCCTATTGAGTCATATAGGATTAATGTGCTTGGACCTCTGTCGTTTATCATATTCCAGTTACGGAGTACAGTTTGTACAACAAAAGGAAATATTCAAAAAAGAAAAGAAAAAAGAAAAAAAGTCGTTCTCACCGTATCAAGGAACCGTCCCTATGGAGCCTTGGTGGGCCCACGGGAGATTGCCCTTTACTAGTTGTCATCTCGCGTGGTTTCATGATTTACTATACATACAGAGGGGGGCGGGAGGGGGGAGGACGGAGGACTTGTGAGACCTGAGCAGAAATTTAATGGCTGCATTAGTTAGGCCATATACCCTGGACTTTCATCTGTATGATATATATAGTGAGGTAGCACGGCATATATGTTTAATTACCATGTCTCATTTCCCTCCACTCTCTTCCACTAGTGGTTCACAGGAAGCACACGGCGCCACACTAGAAGTATGTTGCAGTGGGGAGCTTCTAGAAAAAAATGGAGATTTTCCATTGAATTTCCTACTTGGGGTTATATTATTCATCCACCAGGTTAATTCGAGCAAGTAAATCACAAATTAATTCCCTACGTCAGATCAGGTGGATACTCAGCCTCCTGTTCATGGCAGGGATGTTCGATGGGGATTTTAAGAACTAATTTAATCGGTAATTATTGACGGTTGAACGGAAAGGTTGGGCAGACTTTCATTTCTATAAGAATCCTGCTCCAGTAACCTTTTTTCTTCCCCTTCTTCTCTCCATCCACTCAACTCTACTCTACACCATATTCTGCTACATATTACTAGCTCCTTGGTCTCTTCCAGTCCGTTGTCAACCTGAACAACTACTATCAACTCTCAACCTTCCAACCTTCCAACCCTTCAAACCATCCACAATGCCTTCCGTCGGATCTTCTCAGTTCCCTCCATGCCCCGGTCCTCCTCCTAAGGGCCCTTTGCCTCCGCTGCCGAAATAAACAGTCCAGTCCCCTCTTCTCAACGAACATGATGACACTGGCGCATTCTGGTCCGCCAGATCCGCTCACGACCTGGACCCTTCAGCATGGATATCACGACTTCGACTTCGACCTAGTTTCGACTTTTACCTGCGAACCTTTGTTTTCGATTCGGACCTTCAACACCTAATTTCCACCATCTCTCCACCCCCCCCAAAAAAAGGACGCCCTTGCTTAAAGTTGGGCTTGAGGCGGACAACACAAAGAGCACCGGCTCTTCCACCGTCTATTCTCGTCTCTCGGCATTCCAATTCAACGATGCGTTGCTAGCCATAGCTCGATGCGCGCCTTGAAAAACTTGTTCCAATTGGGTCTCGGACAATTGTTTTTTTTCTCTTTCTCTTTCATTTTCCTTTGTTCCCTCGCTCTTCAGCGACCTTGCTCGCTATGGGACCTAGCGCCGGCGCTACTATCCCCTCGACGTGCATTAATAGCCTTTCTATTTCTTGCTCTTTGTCTCATTTCATCTCTCGGGCATTATTGATCACGCCCCCCATCTTCTGCGGGGGTTCGTTTCACCTGTTCGACCTCGACCCATCTGTGACGCGCAGATGTGGAGAAGGGTGCAGCTGCTCAGCCGCTGCACATTAATTGGACAATCCGTATTTGTCTACAACCCCCTGTTCTGGGTACCTAGCATGAACTGGGGTTGCCTTCCGATCGTCCCGTTGCTCACGCATCATTGATTTGGGTGCACAGTGCCTTTTTTCTTTTCTTTTTCTGTCTGCCGCTGTGACCTGTCATCCTGACTGTTTGGATGCCTTTTTAATTCTCTTTTTTGGTTTCCTTTCCTCTTTTTCTTTTTTT